ATACCAAAAAGAGCGCCAGAAAGAACAGAAACAGCAACAACAACAAGAACCCATTCCCAATCTTATTTCTTATCAGGGCTAAAGTATTTGTTTGTGATTACGCCTCGTTTGGAGCATGAGCTATCGATTGTTGCAAGTCTTTCGATAACTGCATTAGCTGTTATATATCCATGATGTATGTATGTAAATAAAGTTCGAAGTTCTACGATATTATAGAAATACTTAATATTTCTCTTATTGAACAAGTTTTTGAATTCCATTTTAGTATTATAAACATACATATTTTCCTAGATTTGTTGATATATCATCAAAATGTCTTTCAAGCGGACATCTCCCTACAAACACTGACGCTGCGTGTGTTCGCTATAGGCAGCCTTCACTGTATACTGTACATATGAATGTGCCTATGCACATAAGGTATTCAATACCACGTACCCAACCTCACGCAGACGCAGCTGTTTCAGCGATCCTTAGCGCTGCAACTGGCTTGCAAGCTGTTTAGCTGTGAATTGGTCAGTCAGATGTGTTTGAGTAGCATTAGTTGTGAAGATATCAATGCATTTAATGCACAATTTAATCTATTTTCCCTATCTTATTTACAGTTCGTTAAATGCGGCTATGCCGGCAGCAATTTTCCCGCGCACATTTTCCCATCGATGGTTGGCAGACCGATAATACGAGCGGTCAATAAAATTGGTGACATCGAAGTGAAGGTATGAGCAGCGTATTACCAATTGGCACATTTACACGCATCTAATACGGACACACACAAACCCACACACACACACACACACACACACACACACACACACACACACATACATACACACACACACACACACACACACACACACACACACACACACACACACACACACACACACACACACACACACACACACACACTTATATAAAAATATAGATATGCACAGGTCGATTATATCTACTCGTAATAACTAAGTACTCTATAAATATATTTACATATACTATACTATAAATATGATTAGCATTGGTCAAGAACTTAGCGCATAGCCTCACCATATTTATCATACTGTATGTCCATTATTCTTATACTTTCACTTTCGTGTTGCCATTCCCAGTTCCCATATTCATTCATATGTTAGTTGAATACCAAACAATTAGTGTGTCACTTGGTTTTGTTTCTTAACACAAATCCTATTATTTCTATCTGTTTTTTTTTTCTTTCTTTCTGTTTTTCTTTTGTTCTTGCAACATTTCTACATTTCTTGCATTTTGTATTGAGTTGCTGCAACAACGACAATAACAACAACAACAACATCCTCATCACCACCACCATCATCATCATCATCATCATCATCATCATCATCATCATCATCATTATAATGGGTGTCTTTGGTCTTGGTATACGATTTGAACGGTGTAGAGGTGCATCTAAAATCTTGTTATATCTTCTTATGACAATTATAACAGTACCACTACACTCTCTGCTTAGTTCTTGTGTGTGTGTGTGCCTCTCTGTGTGTGTGTGTGTGCGTCTCGACAAACGTTCCTGATATATATGATATATAGATCGTGCGTTTACCAAATACTACTTAAGAGCGACCAAATGCTGGAACTGTGTTCGATTCTTTCTCAATTTCTAGAAATTAGTAGGCAGGGCTCGCTGGGGCCCCAATATTTGGGACAATCCCATTGCATTAGAGCGCCATCTTTATAAACAGCATGACTTCTTGCTTCCGGGCTTTTTCTATATAAATATCTAAAATATATGTTTTTTTTTCTTGTACATGTCTTAGAGTTAGGTACTTTGAGCGCTTTATACACACATTCATTCCAGATACATTCAATGTAGATCTATTATTGAACGGTTTTGACAGCTACTAACTATATAAGTTTAGCTTATTTACAAAACATCAACAGATATTTATAACAAAACAAGAGTATACAATCTATGAAGAGGCAAAACTTTCTGTTTTTTAATATTCTTATACATTTTTTTTCTGTTCTTTTTTTACATATTTTTTTGAAACAAATATTTTACAGGATTTACATGTCGATGTAAGTCAAGTTTTATAGTTAAAAAAAACCCGTAATAAAAACAAAAAAAAAAAAAAACAACAAATACTTAACTGCCAATGTTATGATGCATAGTAAACCATAAAAAAAAAAAAAAAAAAAAAAAAACAGCAAGTAGAATTTTATCAAATTTACGAAAAGCAATTTATATTTATTATGTACACGAAATGCACACGATAACAAACTAACGAGTAATGCCAGATCTTATAGTAATCTATTTTTTTTTTATTATTATTGTTATTGCACTTGATATTATTTATTTTAAATAATTTGTAATGCTTACATTACGAATATTATATTTACATTGAAATTTGGCCATTTCTATTACCCTTTGATCGCTTTTAGTATTTGTTTGTTTCCAGTGTGCGCTCTTTAAATAATAAGTATTATATTGTTGTTTTCTTTTTTGTGTTTTGCATAAAACTGCATTTAATAGAGTTATTTATTTGTTATGGCTAGCTTTTACTTAAGTTATATACATAAACATATGTACATATACATATATCTGGCCTTAATTATTGCTGTACCAAAACTAAATGAAAAAAAAAACACACACATACTCTTTTTAGAGGATCTTTCTATCTGTTTGTTTTAGTGCATGACAAGTTTTGATAATATGTATAAATAATTATATTTTTGTATATGTCTTTGCCATTGAAGTTCTGCACGTTATATATTTTGAATTAATGACAATCACAAGATAACAGGAATGTTTCTAATGTACAAATATACTGTGCGAGTGCTTAAACTAGTTTGAAGCTTCTTACGTTAATTGTTTTTATTGCTTGTTACTCGTCCTTCGTTACGTTTTTCGTTACTCGTTGCTCGTTGCTTGTTACTCGAGACACGTTTTCTGTTACTCGTTAAACATTTGTATTTGTGTTCTTTTGATCTTTCTGTGCCTGTCTAGCGCCTAAGTGAGTTGGCATCTTAGTGAGTTGAACTAACTCTAAAACCTTTAACGAGTAATCGCTGTTTAAATCAGACAAAAGTACTAAACAATTGCCATACAAAATGCACGCGCTACATCGATATTAAACAATATATGTGGCCATTTACAGGACCTTATGGTTGGCGATGAAGCCTCACAGCTGCGCTCATTACTGGAGGTCTCCTATCCCATGGAGAACGGTGTTGTCCGAAATTGGGAGGATATGTGTCATGTGTGGGACTATACGTTTGGCCCCAAGAAAATGGATATTGATCCGACGAACACAAAGATATTGCTAACGGAACCCCCAATGAACCCCACAAAGAACCGCGAAAAGATGATCGAGGTACGTGAACATGAAATTCATCTTGACCTCATATATTTGCATTGACATTGTTCACAGGTGATGTTTGAGAAATACGGTTTCGATTCCACGTATATTGCCATACAGGCGGTATTAACGCTCTACGCCCAGGGTCTCATATCTGGCGTTGTGATCGACTCTGGCGATGGCGTGACGCATATTTGTCCTGTCTACGAGGAGTTCTCTCTGCCACATTTGACGCGGCGTCTGGATATTGCGGGCCGTGATATAACGCGCTATTTGATTAAGGTAGGCCACGCACAGAAAGATATTACTTGCCAGTTTACTGACCTGTTTTATTCTAAATCCCCTAGTTACTTCTATTACGTGGCTATGCCTTCAATCATTCCGCTGACTTTGAAACGGTGCGCATTATGAAAGAAAAACTATGCTACATTGGCTACGATATTGAAATGGAGCAACGTTTGGCACTAGAGACCACGGTGCTGGTGGAATCTTATACGGTACGAACCGCTTACAGCGTACAGGCATATTGAGCATGTGATAATGTTAGGTCTGACTTTTATACTTGCTGTGTTATGTAGTTACCCGATGGCCGTGTGATTAAAGTGGGTGGCGAGCGTTTTGAAGCGCCCGAGGCGTTATTCCAACCGCATTTAATAAACGTTGAGGGTCCCGGCATTGCGGAACTGGCGTTCAACACGATACAGGCTGCGGACATTGATATACGACCCGAGCTCTATAAGCACATAGTACTTTCTGGCGGCTCAACCATGTACCCGGGACTGCCCAGTCGTTTGGAGCGTGAAATAAAGCAATTGTACTTGGAGCGAGTACTCAAAAACGATACGACAAAACTGGCGGTAGGTGCATTAACATTTGTATATGCATTCGCGATTAATTGATTTCACTTGCTCATTCTTAGAAATTTAAAATACGTATTGAAGACCCGCCGCGTCGCAAAGATATGGTTTTCATTGGCGGCGCTGTGTTGGCCGAGGTAACGAAAGATCGCGATGGCTTCTGGATGTCCAAACAGGAGTATCAGGAACAGGGTCTTAAAGTATTGCAGAAACTGCAAAAGATCAGCAACTAAAACAACAACAATAACAGCAAGAGCTAACTGAAACGATAATCAATGGACACAACGGCAGCATTTGCATTTGCTTATCTTAAGTTCAAATTTATACTTTTTCGACTTTTATCCAGAGAAAGAGAGAGAGACAGAGAGACAGTTAGTGCTCATTGCCTGCTAGCCAGTGGGTCTGTTTATAGCTGCGAATGCGGGGGGATGTGTTCATTCAGTCCATTCAGTTCAGACTATTCGTAAATCCCTCTCCTTGTTTCATACACATGTACATTCGTATATGCACAAAGTAAGAGCATATTTTTCACACGCCCAGCACCTTTAATTGCTATGTTATAATCGTAATGCCAAATCATGTATAATTTGTCACTTTGGCTCTAAATTTTAAGCAAATGTCACTTGAATTGTAATAATTCTTATCATAATGCCTTTGTTTATTTTGTTTTCAATTCTTTATTTTATTTACAATAATTTCTTCTTTTTTTTTCTTACTAAATATATATGTGCATAGATTGTATTGATATTTTTGTAAACACAAGTATCTTTTCATTTGTGCTGTAGCCTATAAACTGAAGTATTTTCATATTTCCTTGTCAAACAAATATGAGTATTAACCAGGACTGGGCAAGTCGCTTATAGAGTTATATCACCGATTATAAATCGTCTGGGCTTTTCTGTGTGTGAAAGAGACAATGAGTGAGCTGCATAGTTTAAAGTGAAATAAATACATAAATACTTATATAGAAAATTATTTGTGCTAACTAAGTTAGTTGCCTGCAGCTGCGTTTGCTAGTTCATATTGCAATTCATGACTGCCCCATAATTTTAAGCATACATACATAAATCACAAAATACAAAACAAAATGTGTTCCGATGTGCATATTGAAAAATGCAATAAACTGTAATTGTGTGTATAAGTCGTATACCTATTTATTTGACCATTATGCCATCCGAATCTATAACAGCTTAACGATTTAATCTGATCACAAGCCATGCAGAAAAAATCGTTTCAGTTAGTAAAACAATTGGCCGTATACAAAGAACCTTTCAACATTTTAAAATATTCCCCAAGATTGCCAATCAACTGGAGCAATTGGACGCAATTTGCGCCTTGCGAGAGATTCCCGATTTTTATCTGATGATTAAGTTGGCGAACCAAACAAAAATCTGCATATTCATTATTAATTTCCAATACAATATATGTATACAAGTACATACGAATATAGGGTCGACTAGTTGAATATATGAATACAGGGAAAACTGTCTCGAACTTCGAGGTTATTGAAGTTAAAAGAAAATAACAGATATTTTCCATTTCAGAATTAAGAATTTAGGCTAAAGTCCAAAAGCGAAATGCTTATGGTAAGCAAATGGTAAAATTCACTGAAATGATAAAAATGTACGTTAGTTCTATGCATATTATTATATGCAAGTGCGTATAGTTAATAGCTATTGTTCATATTGTACATGAGACAAGGTGTTTTTTATATTTAAGTATAAAAAATAAAGATGCCCCTGAAATTAATAATAATTTTTCGTTTAATTAGCGGAGTTGAACAATATCTTGTATATGGCATGGTTCAGGCTTGAGATTTAGACACGAATAGTGTTGAAAACTGGTAAATGCTGTTGGCAGCATGATTTACGTTGTTCTACACTGCGCAAAAAATAATTGAAACTGCTAAGAGTGGAATTTAAAAAATAAATTAGATATGGCGTTCCAAAACGACATAACTCCACTTGGAGATATGACGTTCCAAAACGACATAACTCCCGCGGAGATATGACGTTCCAAAACGACATAACATCGCGCGGAGATATGACGTTCCAAAACGACATAACTCCACTTGGAGATATGACGTTCCAAAACGACATAACTCCCGCGGAGATATGACGTTCCAAAACGACATAACATCGCGCGGAGATATGACGTTCCAAAACGACATAACTCCGCGCGGAGATATGACCTTCCAAATCATCACGTTGTTTTTTAAATTCGAGGTCGGTGCGAAAATCGAAACTTTTTCGATGATTTTTTTTTAATATCTCGGGTAAATAATGTCTGATTTTAAAATGTTATACCTTTTTGAATGCGTACGGATCTCTACCATCAATTGGCATTCAAACAAATTAATCATCGATGGGTTGAAAAATGTTGTTGACAAAAAACCGATTCTTTCGTAAATTCAACCTTTTTGATGATTTTTATACCCTGAACCCATTAAAAATGTGTAAAAGGGTATATTGTATTTGTGCAAAATCCAAATGTATGTAACAGGCAGAAGGAAGCTTCTCCGACCCCATAATGTATATATATTCTTGATCAGCATCAGTAGCCGAGTCGATCTAGCCATGTCCGTCTGTCTGTCCGTCCGTCCGTCCGTCCGTATGTATGAACGCAAGGATCTCAGAACCTATAAGAGCTGGAGAAATTTTAGATGTAGATGCTTCTAGTTCCCGCGCAGATCGAGTTTATTTCCGATAATCAATAACTTACTCCATTTCTCAGCAATCGATAGAAATCGATATCGATATCCTGTATTTTGGGCAACTTTGGTAAATAATAAAAGCTAGAGTCACCAAACTTGACATATAGCTTCTAAAATAGAATATATACATGCATTTGATGTTGGAAGAAGAGGGTTCAGGGTACCCCCTAGTCGGGAGTTCCCGACTAGAACCACTTACTTGTTATACTTGTAAGCAAGTTCAGGGCATGGCATGTGTTAGTTGAATGTCTTCAATACAAAGGAAAGCGAAGAAAAATCCAAAGATTGTTTCCTAGTCCTTCTAAAAGCAGTATACTTTGAATAAGAGGCGTTCCCTTTTTGGCAATTGTCCATAATTTACTAGGCATATAACTTACTTACTTATAGCTTACATTTGTCATTGCCGTTAGACCAATGTCAGCCAAAAGCCTGTCAACAGAAATAGAAAGTCATTTATAATTTTGGTTAGAGTATACATTCATATATAGACACTGCAGCGGTTTATTTAGACTTTTCAAATCGCAATTAATACATTTTTGCTAGTACAACAATTCTATAAACACTTTTAGTAAATTTATGGGGCTAAAACAGATTTTCATAGATGCTTTGATTCTGTCGCAACGCTGGGTATTTAGTTTGAGTATGCCCCAAAATTTGACAAAAATTTCAGCGGCAACATCAACTTGGATCAACACTTAAACAATTACATTAACGGGTATGCAAGAACATACACGGCTTTCCCCTGCTGCCAGCTTCAACAGATGCATTCACCAATTTTCATTTTCATTCCATTTCGTTACGTTAATAATACAATTATTTGATTTGTTTACAGAAATTTTGATGGTTGTGGCTTTCGATTTGCCAAGCCTCGACATGTTTTTGGTTGTCGCTTCTGTTCTGATCAATAATATAAAAATATACAGTTTTGTTATGTACACTTAGATGTTTCAAAAAGGAGAAAAAAACTCGCACATTCAGCTATATAGTTACACACACATATATACATACATACGTGTGTGCCTTGTAAGTACATGTACGTACCTACATGCATGTATATTTAGTTAAGTCTGTAGAAGTATTTAATAAATTAGTAGAAAATACTTTTGTTTTTACTTGATACATAGTACATACACAATATATATAAAAATACAAGAGGGTCCATAGGTTACAGCGTTTCGTCTGCTTCTTGATTTTTGTTCTTTTTTTATATTATATATTTTTGTAATATATTTATTTTTAGTTTCTGTTGTAAGTAGCTTAGCTTAGAGAAAAGTACACAAAATCGAAAGACTTTTTTCAGTTTCCATTTGGTTTGGTTTGGTAATGCATTAAGAGTTCATTGCACAAATAAACGCTATATAAAATAGTTGTTGTGTGTGTGTGTGTGTGTGTGTGTGTGGGTGTTTAAGCGCTTGGCGGTCTCATATATGTTTATGTAGAGTTGTGCGTGTGTGTATGTGTGGCAAGTTGAGCAAGCAGTAGGCAAGCAGTTTTTATATTTTCAAATTTGCATAGCATACTTTTGTGCTGCTGCGTTAGAATATAACATCTATTTATGACATTTATGTTATTTGTTTTTGTATTTTTGTATTTTGTATTTGTTTTTGTACTCGTACGTTATATATTATGCATATGTATGTTTGCTGCTGAGGTTGCCCGTCTAACAATTTGCTATACACCAAACAACAAGATCAACATTTATAACAGCAACAACAACAACACATGGAATGCATTCAACATCAATTTAGTTGTTTCCTGCTCTCGGAAAAAAAAAATTATGGTAAAGTTCAACTTTTTATAACATTTATTAGCTAGTCTGCTTTATCGGTTAGTTCTATGCAATGCGTTTGTAAACCTAGTTTAAATTACTGCAATAAAATTAATATTAAGTTGAGAAAATAATAAAAAAATTACACACACACATACGCGGAAATACACGCATAAGCATGTATGTATGCATGCATATGTTGCATATCTTAAGCCTAGGGAAACACATTAAATACATCTAAAGCCACAAAATTTCATTAGTTAAGAGTGTGTGTGTGTAATTTACTTAAATCTTGGCATTACATTTATACATTTATAAATTAGGCTACAATTAAAATACATACTTAGGATACAAAAATAAAAAACAAAAAAAAAAAAAAATTAACTACACCACTTAAATATACACACATGCATACATACATATATAACATGTATGTAAATCTCGTTCTGTTGGTAGTTTACATTCATATCAAGTGGCTAATACAAAGAAAACGTACACATTGCCCGATTCGTGTGCGTGCTTTTGGCATATGTACTACGAGCAAGTTTTAGCTTCACAACTATATGCTATAGCATATATTGTATATAGCATATATGGTATAGTGTAATCAACATATCCCCAACACGCCTTACACATTCTTCTTCGGCCATAACACATAACAATATCGACACAACATTCCACGATCAAGTGCCAGCTAATTATCGTACATATTCAACATTAGTTACATATCACAAATTAATGCGGTTTATTCCCGCTCCCCCCACGCCCCGCCCCCCCAGCTCCGTCCATATACACATATATATCATTTGAATTACATTCCCAGACATTCATTTAGCTGCGACTGCGGCATCGGCATCGGCATCGGCAACTGCAACTGTTGTTTTGGCCAACACACATTTTGTTCAGTCATTAAATGCAATTTTGAAACCATTTCTCAAGTGCTGCAAGCCGGAAATTGAGTTGAGTTCATTTAAGTTGTGTGCATTTGATTTGATTTGAGTTTGATTTGATTGGATTTGAAATTCTCTTTAAGTTTCGGTTGTGTTAGCTGGATTAAAGTGACTGCCGCCATTTGCGTGTGTTGCATGCAGTGATTCCTGTGACTTGAACAGCGTAGTTGTTTCGCTCGAGTGCAGGTCGCCTTCATCATCATCATCGTCATCTTCATTATTCTCATTATGATCCACCTCTTTAGCCTGTGCCTCATTCACTTTAGGTTGAGCATCATTTGACTGCAGCTGTTGTTGCTCCTCCTTTGCCTCATCTGCCAGCTCATCTGGATTACAATCGTTTAGCTGCAGCTGAGGCAGCTGTGCGCTTACCGGCTGCTCCTCCAGCTGCGGCCTGCGTCTGGTAAAGAGAAACACCTCCATGTGATCCTTGCCCTTGACGTAGACACTGCCACGCGGCTCAAACTCATAGCAGGCGGTCAAAAATGGTAGGCAATCCTTGCCCACCTGTATGCGATTGGGCAGACCCGTGGAGTCCATGCGCGAGGCCACATTGACAGCATCGCCCCAAATATCATAGTATAGTTTACTGGTGCCAATTACGCCAGCTGTGACATCGCCAATGTTCATGCCAATGCGCAGAATCAGATTAAACTCGAGCAGATCCTTGTTGAACTCATTGACCACCCGCTGCATCTCGATGGCAAACTCCATTAAGGTGTGTATATGCTCATCGCCAGTGCCTCGATGGGACGGATCCAAGCCGCTGGCGGCCATGAATGTGGACCCAATTGTCTTGATCTTCTCGACGGCACGAAACTTCGGATGCGAGAGCAGCTCATCAAAGTCCCCAATTAGCTCGTTGAGTACGCGCAGAAACTCCTTGCCGCCCAGATAGCTCTCGTCGTACATTTCATTGAAATTGACAATGGAGGCAAAGATTATGGCAATGTTGTGATGATTCTCCGAGTATTTGGCTGTGTTCTTCAGATGTTCGGCCACATGCTTTGGTATAATGTTGTGCAGCAGCATGTCCGCCTGGTTCTTCATATTCTGGACGCGTACCTTGTCCTGGTTGGCAACCGCGTTCCCGTAGAAGGTCAAGCGATAGCCAATCTCGAACTCGCGATTAAGAAACCAGACCAGCACCAGTATCAATAGCAGGTCCAAATAGATCTCCACATGATAGTCGTGAAACCATTTGATCTCCTCGTAGATGAATGATGCCGCCGCACTGCTGTTCAGCTCCGATTCCAGCTCTGGATCCGTTTCACTTTCGGAGCGCCTAGAGTAGACGGTCAGCTGGGAGACTGCGATCCCAATGAAGCAAAGTGCGGCTAGAAAGGCCAAGATATTGCGCATCCAGCAGTTCAGCTGTGTAAAGTTGCAGAAGTGCACGATGCACACAAAGATGAGAAATCCATAATGGTATTCGAACGCCTCCAGTTGTGTAAGATCGAGCAGCAGAAAGTTGGCTATGATCAGGACGACGGGCATGGCCATTAGCACCGCCAAGCAGATGTGCCATGGATACCAGCTGGATATGGCTTCAAAGATGCGATCTGCACACGATTCAAATTGTTGCGACTGCGGCAGCGGCAGCGACTGCGACTGGGTCCGAGACTGTGGAACTGCGGCATCGCTATTGACCGCCTCACTGGCGCTAGATTTGGAGCGCAGACGGGTGCCATGGCGACGGCACATTTGGCGCGTGAAGAGAAACAGTGCAAACACCTGGATGGCCGTGAAGCAGGAGAAGAGGGTGACCCACAGCCGGAAGCTAGGCGTTACGGTGTTCTGGGTCATCAGGAAGAGCGATATGGAGATGCACAGATAGACGGCAATGCCCACAAAGATGTCGATATATGTATTGTAGCGGGGCGTGGCCAGTGTGGGCGGCCCCTCCGTTTCGTGCTCGGTGCCAAAGCGATGTGCCTTGGAGCGAAAGTCGCGTTCCAACTGGCGCGATTTAAAGTACAGGCTGAAGCGCCGCAGCGGCGGCTTCACCAAATAGCTGCGCTGGGAGCGCGCATTGTCCCGCACACAGCGGATGAGCTGCAGATCGGATTGCTTGCGTAGCTGCTGCAGGCAAGCGGCCAGCGGATCAACCAGCTGTGCGGACTGCTGTGGCACCACCACCGGCGGCGGCGGCGGCAATGGAAAGGGCAGCGCCCCAGCCTCGCCCAGATTCGAGATGCTTGACGTGGAGCTGGTAAAATAGCCCGAGACGCGATGCTGACTAATGGCCGACTGATTAAGCGCATATATCTGCTGCTGAATGGAGCTGCGCCTTGAGTTGCTCTTAATGCCCGAATCCTTGCGAGATGTGGCTGACGGGCAGATGCTCAGGCCATCCGGCCAAATGCTGGAGTTGCGCGAATGCGAATGGTTTGCTCCAGCGCCAGGTCCAGGCGCTGCCAAGCAGCAGCCACTGGAACTGGGATTGGGATTGAGATTAAGATTGGGATTGGCATTTGCATTTGGATTTGGATTTGCATTTGCAATGGCATTGACATTGGCATTGACATTGGCATTGGCATGGGCATTGGCACTGGTGCTCGGCTCAGTGGCCAATGGTCGTCCCACTGTCAGGGTGGATGCGCGTGGACGCGGCACTGGCGACTGCTCCAATGTTTGTCCGACGGATTGGCCAGTTGACTGACGGCCGCACTGGGAACGATAGCTGCCGGTGCGGCCAAATGGCGAGATGTCGCTGCGCGATTGGCTGATGTAGGAGCGCACATCGATGATGTCATCATACATGGAATACTGACCCGGCGAACAGCAGCTGCCACCGCCGGCGGCTGCCGCAGTGCTATCCGGTGAGCGCATAACGCTGCTGGAGAGCGTCGTCGATGTAGCTGCATGATGGAGCACTGGCCGGGCCATGGGTATGTCCAGCATTTGGGTACTGCCTAGGCGTGTACTGCAGGCCGTCTCTACCAGCACCGGCAGCTGCTGATAGCCGCAGCCATTGCCCAATTGGCCCTGGACGGGGCCAGCAGCTGGCTCGATGAAGGCCACCGATTCATCGCCAGGCGCTGGCAGGGAATTCGAATGAGCCCGTGCTGCCTCCTTGTCTGTGCCATTGGCTTTCTCCTTGTCCCTGTCCTTGCGACCTGTTAGCTTCAGGAACCTGGTCACTTTCAATACCTTGAGCTTGAGCTTGGAGCGGCTGTCTGGCATGTTCGCCGGCGGCTGTTGTTGCTGCTCCAGAGATGGCGGCTGCTCATCCGAGTCCAGGCTGCCCGGCAGCGACTTGGTCGTAATGATAATCTTGGGCCTCTCGCGCACCACAATCACTGGCGGTATGCCAGTGGCAGCTGGATGCATGATGCCGCGCTCCAGATCCCTGTCGCGGCTGTGTGAATGGCTTTGCGTTTGTGATTTCTTGCGCAGTTTCATGCTGAGCGATGTTAGCCGTGGCCGCATCGAGAGCACGGGCGATGACTTCAGAGAGTTGGACAGCTGACCCACTGGCGAGGCAGGTGGCACATGTGGATGCACCACAGATATATTTGTGGCACTTTGCGACAGCGATGTAAACGGGCCATGCGCTCCAGGGAGCAACAAGGAGCTGCCGCCGGCGGCTGTAGCTGCCATGCTCGGACTCAGGCTGTTGGCACGGGAAACGTCCCGACGACGGCCCACCACGAAGTAGGTGCGATGACCTACAATAAACAGAAGCATAAGCCTTGCACTGAAAAGGACTTGGTGTCTGCACTCACCGAACACCTCTTCGCCCTCCTCTAGGTAGTAGGCGTCGCCCAAGAAGCTAGACGTTTCCTGCGAGATGTGCACCTGTTCTGGCTTGCCCGAGGATTCCATTCTGGCAGATATTAAAAAGAGAATGAAATATTTAAGACATTTGTGACGGAACTGAGCTGATAAGACGGAGATTTGCAAAATTTCATCTGCAACTGTGAAAAATTTGTGGAAATTGGTTGTTTCCAACTTTTTAGCTTACAATCCAATCGGACTCAAATTAATTTCCAAAAATCTTTGTGAATATTAATTTGAGATTTGTTTTACAGATTACGAAAAATCCACTCCCCTCTGAGGAAAATGGGTTTCGAAGGTTTCATGGGCGAAAGTTTTATTTACGTCCGATCCATTTCGAACGCATTTCCTAAGATCAACATTGTAGAAGAATTAGTTTAACATTAAACTCTTTTTGAAATATCCATACAAAGCTTTTAAAATGTGATTCATCGATTGCCGAAAACCCACTCTGCTGAGTGGAAATTGGCCGAAAATGGATGCAAAAGTGATGCATAGAATTTTAATGAAAATTTGGGCTGGGAAAGACCGGGTAATATACAATGATTGTATTTTGTGTAAATTCTGTATCAGTCCGATCTACTAGATTTGATTGGGACTGTATTATTACTTACTTGTTGGCCAGGCTGACGTCGTTGCTCCACACATCGAACTTGACGCGTCGGGTGCCGACAATGCCGCAGAGCACGGTGCCAGTGTGGACACCGACGCGCATCTTGACACCTTCGTGGCGCTGGGCATCGAAGCAGCGCATGGCGTCGATCATGCCGAGGCCCATCTCGACACAGCAGATAGCGTGATCGGCGCGTGGTTCGGGGCAGCCGGAGACGCAGTAGTAGCAGTCGCCAAGTGTGGAAATTTTCTCGCAGCCGCTGAGCATGCAGAGGTCGTCGAAACGCTCAAAGAGATCGTTAAGGATCTCGACGAGCTGCTCGGCCGTTTTGGTGGAGGACATGCGCGTGAAGCCAACAATATCGGCAAACAGGATGCTAACATTTTCCATGCTGTGCATGTGGAATGGCCGGAACAAGGACTTGACATCGTGCGAGGCGCGCGGACGCATATAATGGGATTCCGGGGGCTGACTAGGGTCGATGCCCCCGCTGCCACCCTCGTTGAGTAGCATGTCAGCCACCTTGGGTGGCATCACTGAGTGTATCATCTTCTCCTTGAGCTGTTTCTCCATTTCCAGCTGGCGGCGCACCAGCAAATTTTGGCCGACCTTCATGAAGGTGCCGCGCATGCGGACCAGATTCATGACCAGCACATGCACACCCACTAGATGTACGCTCAGGTGCGCCATGATGCGGAGCATGAGTATCTTGTGGCTGGGATCGCTGCCGCTTGAGCCGCCGCCCTCCACTGCTGCTGTTCCTTCGGTGGCTGCTGCATCCGTTGGTGTTGCACCACCAGCCGCCGCATGCACGGCACTGACATCAATGACCATGTGGGAGACCAGCTCAAAGGCGATGGAATAGCAGATGGCAATGCTTGCGCCCAGCCAGAGTGGCATGGGCAGCGCCGTGTAGATTAGCAGCACGATCTCCAGACAAATGGCAAAGTGGCCCAGCGGACTAAACGCCCTGCCCGTGTAGGTGAGAAACGCAAGCGAGGCGCTGCACAGAATGAGCGCTGTCAGTGCCGAAGTTAGGATCCGGTGCTCCTTGTACAGGTTCCAGTGTGTAAAGCACATGGCCATTATCGTGACCAGCGACATCATTGAGAACGATGTTGAGATGGGACGCCAAAAATCCTCCGAGCCGCCATCGATCACAAAATACAAACACCAGGCGACAGAGCAAAGTAATATGTACGACAATGTGAATCTGTAAGAGAAACGGAAGGAGGCGAGAGACACAAATGAGACTCAATAGGAAGAAATCTAACGATACAGAACATGTAATCCTCCAAAATTAACACAGATACTTTTGTGGTTACTATGTCTGCAAGCCCAAACAAGTAAGTGGCTCTAGTCGGAATATACTTGATATATATATATATTATATTCTAGAGGCTACATGTCAAGTTTGGTGACCCTGGCTCTTAAAACCTAAGGGATTTCCTCAATAAACGAGGTATCGATATCGATTTGTATCGATTACTTGGAAACGGGGCAAGTTATCGACTATCGGAAACAAACTCGTACTGCGCGGGCATTAGGAGGACCTATGTTAAAAATTTCTCTAGCTCCTTTAGGTTCAGAGATCCTTGCGTTCATACATACGGACAGACGGACTTGGCTATTGATGCTGATCCAGAATTTATATACTTTATTGGGTTGGAGATGCTTCCCTCTTCCTGTTAAAACAAAATTAGAAGCAAAAAGTTTGTGCCGGGCTAGGTCGGTATATACCAGCTGGTCATACATATAGGGCCAATTTTGTTAAGGATTTAGTAGGATTTAAAACTAAATTTGAAAAAAAGGGATATTGAGTTGAGTTTCTGAATAAAACTGTTCAATGAACACAAAGTGTTGCAGAAACTTATGTTAAATAAGAAAATATTCAACTAATTAAGTCAATTAATTAAATTTGACTCATCCCAAAAGTTAGCAATGAGTAAGCAACTTCTTTGGAGTTAGTAGAGAGATTTTATGGAAACCTAATTTTAACCTGGGGTTGAGGTTAAGGTGGATCACTTAGCAACGTTCTTATTTGGTTTTGCAACGCTTCAGACGAAGTTTTCGAACGAAACTAAAAGTCTTCAATTAGTAAAGGATATAAGTGGAAAGTGTCCTAATTGTTTTCGGTTACCGAAAGGCTTGTAGCAATTTGTACTTTCATAGTTTCCAACTCGTGACTTTTAAATTATGCAGAGCAATTTCTTACAAAATTAGAGAAGCCTCGAGATTTATCATTAGAAAGAATTAGATTTTGGAGCTTTGTTCTCTTAGGGGTAGATATAATTAAAAGGGGATAGCATGCGGGCTGGGAATGAGGAAAGACTTTACTGTTTGCATTAACAATTTGGAGTATCGGTCTTCAAACAAAGGAAAACAGTTCCTCACAACTTACTTGGTGCCTTTCATGGGGGATATGAGCTAAAATAATACGTTGCCACATCTGACAAGGCATTTATACTGATTGGTGAGGCGCCACACATTGCATTAGGAAGGTGGAGCATCAGATAAGGCTGGCAAAGTTGCGACAGGGTTAATTTAATGAATTGTGACACCTCAGAATAGATGACAAGGTTGTCACCTGATTGGGGTAGACAACATGGTCACAAACTACAATTTTGGCTAAACTTCAAGTCAACGGCAAAATGCCGAGAGCTTCAAATATTGTGATGAACGATAAGCTTCGCTCATCAATTGCAATCGATAGACTGTTGACTAGGCTTTGTCTTTGTTTTTGACCCAACAAGCTTAACAAGTGGATAGCTTTTAACAGGTAAAATTTGTACAAATTATTCTCTGTTGAATTCAAGAAATTTGCGCACTAGTCGATTCTGCTGAATACAGTTAACCCTTTGACAGCAATCAAGTTCAATTTGTCGAACTAAATAGCTAGCTAGAAACGAAGCACAAGTGTTTTCCTGTTGAAAAAAGGACTTTTTGTGTGCAGATTGCTATCTAGACTCGGAACACTTTGGACTAAGTGAGGCCCTAATAGGTGTACATCAAATTAGTGGAACGTTTCTTTTCGAGGGTTTTGGCTAGCGACTGAGTAGTCTTGCAAATTCACCAATAACATATGGAGTTTTTTTGTATTGCGTAAACATTTAAACAAGAACCAAGAAGAACAGATATTTTCATCACGCCGAAGAGTGAATACACTAGGAGACATTTTGCTCCTATATGAAATTCATTATGGTTTACTTTGCAACATATTATTATAAAACAAGTAAGAGGTTCTAGTCGGGAGCTCCCGACTAGGGGATACCCTGAACCCTCTTCTTCCAACATCAAATGCATATATATATTCTATTTTAGAAGCTATATGCCAAGTTTGTTGTTATTTACCAAAATTGCCCAAAAAACAGGATATCGATATCGATATCGATTTTTATCGATTGCTTGGAAACGGAGTAAGTTATCGATTATCGGAAACAAACTCGATCTGCGCGGGAATTAGGAGCATCTACATCTAAAATTTCAAGCTCTTATAGGTTCTGAGATCCCTGCGTTCATACATACGGACGGACGGACGGACGGACAGATAGACGGACATGGCTAGATCGACTCGGCTATTGGTGCTGATCAAGAATATATATACTTTATGGGGTCGGAGAAGCTTCCTTCTGCCTGTTACATACATTTGGATTTTGCACAAATACAATATACCCTTATACTCATTTTTAATGGGTTCAGGGTATAAATACGGGATTTATTTATTTTCATTTTCAATTTTCATCGATTTTTCCTATATAAGTATACGGTATAGTAATAAAACCTTGCTTGTTTTTATTGATTTTGGCTATACTTGGTCAAGAAATCTAAAGAACCGAAGAAGTTTTCTAAGCAAAAGATCAAATTGAACAAATCGTTTTTATTATGACTCGCTTTAAATACCCTCTGCTTTTAGACTATGTTCAAAATTTGTGTCTGTAGTTGCTCTGTGAAATAGATCTCTGATCTAGTAGACTACCTAAAATGAATTAACCAAAATCCAAAAATCACTTTATGCGAATCATTTCTCCAAAAGATGGCTAATTGAATGTAGGTCGATCACTTGGGTACTTTAATCGCTTCTGAACTATGAAAATAAGAAAGAATACAGAATAATACAAAATAGGGTTAATTTTTGTAATTAACGCATTGCCAACAATATGCTGATATCGATATTTGGGTTCTATCCGCCTTGTGTCACGCCTGACCAGTGGCTCCATGGATAATCAGTGGGAGGAATTTTGGCTTTAGCTGTCTCTGGCCGTTATTGAACAATAGGTATCTCTTCCTGATTCTGGCACTCGATGCGACGCAGTTGCTGCTCTCTGCTGAGCCAGCCCAAAGAGGTTGCCGGAGCAAGGCAATTGTGGCTGCTTCCTCCAAAGATGAGCGCCAGCATTACGGTGAGGGCAACAAGGGCAACGCGACGGTGTCGCTGCTGGCTGAGGCAGCGCCAGAGATGACGGCGCAGGCTGGCGACGAATCGCAGATGGTTGAGCAGGCGGAAGAGCAAAAAGAGCCAAAGATTCTCAAGGAGCAGGCGATCCAGCTTACTGGCACCCTCGTTGCTGATGCGCAGTATCACAATGGCCGTAAATGTGGTCAAGAGGATCAGAGACATGGCCAGCGATTAACAGAGAATTTTTATCAAGTAACACTAGCTGGTACGAAAGGGAAAGTTCTGAATAATAAATGGGTAAGAGCTTGAACCCAACGCCTGCTACAATCGATTCGATTCGCCTGCTGTGCTAATTGTTGTGCCCCATCGCATCCAAGCCCTCTACCCCCTCAAATGGCATTGACCTGCAATGCAAGCCAAGCACCCAACCCAAGCACAAACCAGCCAACCAGCCAGTCAGCCAGCCAGCCAGCCAGCTAGCCAGCTTCAGGCCAAGGCACGTCAAGCGGCCATTTATGGCAGCAATTTTGCTATCCTGCGCAGTTCTCAACTAATTTGCCGGCGCTTACCCCGTCGGGCAGGAGCCAGGTCCGCGCCAGGTTCGCGCCAGGCCTCGTTGGCTCCATTGGCTGCCCTTTTTGGCGTCGCGCTGATTGCATTCACGTGCGAGAATTCAACTTATTCATAGTGCAACTAGCGCGGCATACATTGGGGCATTTATAATTTATTTGTCGAATTACATTTGCTTCGTACCTACTTGCAGAGTGCGTTCTTCGAATTGTTTCTAAATCTAATTACATATTTTAAATAACATATATATATATCAATTTTTTTTTTGTTTAGCTAAAGTTCACAAGCAGCAAGAAAAGGGCAGTGCGCACAGTAACTTATCCCAAGGCTGCCCTGCCTTTAGGCTCGGTTCGTGAGCCTGGTTTAACACATTTTTGATCCCAGGGTTAGATTCAAACCGTGGGGCAGTTGGTTAAATTTGTAATATGAACCACTTAATTAAAAGCATTAATCAAGAAGTTTTTATTTGCCAACATATAAAGCATTGTTTAATGCAAAAATTAAACAAATGCAATTAATATTGTGTGAGAAATAAAACTGGTAGTTCGTCGTAAGTAAGAGCTCTATAGTTAAGAGTACCTGACTAGGAGATACCCTGACCCAACTGTGAGCTATCTCAACCCACTTTGATCCTTCTGGCTTAGCTTCGCTGTTTATAGCTCGATCTCTATAATCGGATTAAATATAGTATGCGAATTTATCTATATCTCAAAGCACGCTTTCTTGGGTCGGAGCTGTTTCAATATACCCTGCCCCTTTTTGCCCCATATGTTTTTGTTTGCATGTTTGAAAGAAACTTGGCCAACTTGGAGCTCTCATAGAGTATCTCCGAGTCGAGCATTAGACAATTCTTTCTCATCGCTAAAAAGTGCTATAAAAGCTTTCAGCGTGATGAATTATTTTTTACTGTTATTACAGAAATTAAAGTAAATTAAATGAAATTAGAAAACCACTCAAATGTCCACTTTATAGTTTTTATTATTATTTGAAACACTTTCAGTTACTCATTGATGCACTCATGATTTGTTGTGGCATGCACCTGAATCGCACTCACCTGTATCGCATGCGTATGTGTGGAAAGACGCTGGCCTGGAACTGCTCCTCGAGAACGGGTGAATCGAATTTGGGATCCAGCCATGATTTGGCGGCGGCTCGCTCGAAGGCCACCGGCAGCATGACGCTGCAGCAGGAGTGCCGGCGTCCGGTTTGACTTAGATAGGTTTGGATGTGGGGCGCCAGAGCGATTTGTATGTCATCGGTGGAATTGGCCCGGCTATCGTTGACTAGAACGCCCGGCGGCATTGCTGTAAAGCTGACCGACTGCCGACGCGACTGTCGAAGCCAAGAAAAATAAGAGAGAAAAGAAACATAAGCAGAGACCGAATGAATATATATTAATTAGCAAAATGGCCATAATATTAGCCAGATATGCATACATATGTGCATGTTTGTGTGTGTGTGTACAAAGGCGCCGCAAAGTATGCAGTACTATGCGGGGATGCAAACAACCGCCGAGAGGACAAGGACGCGTCTTCGAGGACGCGCCTTTGACATTTGCCATTTGTTGTCAACTAGGTCAGTGTTCAGTCTGTTTAACCAACTGTCTCTCTGTCTGTTTGTCTCCCTGTCTGTTGGTCTCCCTGTCTGGTTTTCCCTTTGTCCGTTTGTCAATTCGTTCTGCGTCTTGAAGCGCCGTCACAGCAACAAGTGTTCTCACATTGCGCATACGCCATGCTATGCGATTGCAATAAAAATACTAAGGCGAGTAAGGTCAAACAACAAAATGCTACTAAGCTCTTGATTGTCACAAAATTGAGAAAGAAAACAAAATCGCCACCTTTGCGCTCTCGCTTCTTAAATAGCGCCATGTGTGTGTGTGTATACACATATACAAACATCAAAGCATATTTGTATGTGTTGCTATTCACTGCAGTGGCTCTTGCTGCCAAATAAACAAACTTTGTTAGCTTTCTTGCGCTAACCATGATCTACACCCTATTTGTATTCACATAAGTTTGTACTCATGTATGCATAATTTACACATACAAACATAGCTGCTTGCATGCCATTGGCTGAGACAAGAACTTCTCTCCAGCGTACACTGTGAAAAAAAAAACGGTAAATTCAATCATATCTATCTACAATTTACAATTTAGCAATCATATCTAAGATAATATATCTTTCATGCATCATGAGTTAAGCAAAAGCGCCATCGGAAGAATAAGCTTTTCTCGGTCAATGTACTTCGAGAACGAAATGACGCAGAGTATCATAGAACGTCTTTGCGGAAGGCCGGCAGGCGACTCGGAGAGCGAAAAGCCACTCGGTTTATGGGGCATTTGAAGAGCAAAAAGCCACATTATACATTTTGCGTGGCATTCAAATGTATGGGCGTTGCTTATCTTATACTTTGGATCATATTGTCTTGAACCTTCGTCTACTATGCGCTTGCTTGCCCAAGCTTAACACTTTTACCATGAATCTAGCTCTTAAAACTATAGAGATTTGCTGAATTGATATCGATTTTAATTGATTGATCTATTAGGTTCTCCAATTCTCCAGATCTATTAGGTTTTCAGATCGACGCGTTCATACAAGCTGGCATGGCTGGCAGACCAACATGACTAGATCGAATCGAATCGAGTAGATGCTGACCAAGAATATATATACTTTATAGGGTGGAGATGCTTCTTCTGCTTGTTATGTACATTTGCCCAAAAGCAATATACCCATCAAACCCTTTAAAATGGGTTCAGGCATCATAAGCAGGCTTAAAATGAGTCACGTTTGTATGTTACATACATACATGGTTACATAACATATTTACATATATATTTGTATGTCTGTATCGGTAGGCCGAAGATTAAAATCCCTCGTAGGCATTTGGCTGACAGTTTTGCCGATACACATAAAACATGTTTTTGACCGATTTTTCCTACAGACGTGTATACAATTTGGCTCATATGATTGGAATATTGCTGAGAATAGTGGGATGCTCCGGCCGGTTCCGGCATAGGAATTCCAGCAACAGAAAGACGGACCTATGTAAATATTCATTGGGATAGCTTTAAAGCAGAAGGACTAGTCAGCATAGCTACAGACATTCCACCGTGTGCAATAGCTCTATCCATGAAATAGCCCATGTAAATTGATTTTACTTTTATTTTTGCACAGTGTACGCTGGAGAGAAGTTCTTGTCTCAGCCAATGGCATGCAGGCAGCTATGTTTGTATGTGTAAATTATGCATGCATGAGTACAAACATATGTGAATACAAATTGGGTGTAGATCATGGTTAGCGCAAGAAAGCTAACAAACAGTGAACAACACACATACAAATATGCTTACATGTGTGTGTATGTACACACATGTGCAAAAGCCGAAGCTGAGAGTTCTATTTTTTAGCGTTTTCGCTCTTTAAGTTGTTACTGATCAAGAATATACACGGGAAGGAGTTGTCTCTTTCTATGCTTTACACATTTAATGATACAAATATAAATATATTTAGATGGGTATAACAAGTAAGTAGTTTATTGAAGTGGCTTGCTACCAACTGTATCTGATTCTATATATCACTTTCTCTTAGAGCTCTCTTTTTCTCTCTTACTCTTACTGCCTTTTCTCTCTCTTCTCTTCTCTCGTTCTCTCTTATTCTATCGCCCTTTCTCCATTTTTGTTCTGACTTAGTCAATTTATTCCCCGACCGTCTATTTAGTTCTTGTCAAAGCGTTGGCATGTAAACACGCTTTAAGCATGTAAACGTGCTTCAAAACAAATAACTAAATAAATCGGCAATAATTGTATGACTATACACACATACATTGATGAAAGCTTTACAGCAATACATTTATGAAATATTCAAACAAATTAAAGTCGAATGTGAATCTCCTTAAATACCGAATAGATTGAATCAGTTGATATATCTCAATAAATTATGCGCTTGCTTGCGAAAGGTTTCGAGACTTGTTTCAGTCATGGAACCCCAAAATTTATAAAAGCCTTGAAATGGATTAAACCTTTTCGAGTGAATCTTTCGAAGTGCTCGTTAATTTTGAAAACTTGTATAAACAATTGCACAGATCAAAGGAAGGGAACTTGTATAAATTGAACTGCCATAGCTTAAAGAACTCGCTATTGTTATTAATCGGTAGCATTATGTTAAAAGCGAAAGACCTTACATCCTGCCCAAGTTAAATCAGTTAACTCATCTTGAAATTAGATCAAACTTTTTTTTGCATTCTTATGGGACTTAACAAATAAATATAGCGTTAAGGCCCATCATACAAATCTTGGTCATTAAAGGATTTGACATGGCTAATGTAAATATTCAAGAAATAATAAAATTCACTTCAAAGACTTAAAGGTGGATTTTGCCAAAACGAAAGCTAACAAAATTTAACATCGCAAATCGCAAAGTTTTTTGAGGTTTTTTCATGTATGTTTTAATCTATCAGACATCGATTTTCATGAGGTCAATGGTAATAAATCTGGGATTCGTTAATGAAGCGTTCAAGATCCTAAGATCAGTGAGAAATCCCAAAGAACAAGGTTTTTTAAAAATGCATTTTCCATCATTCTATGGGGTTTCGCCTGAGCAACTGAGTATATATTAATATGAGCCATACATTAGTTACTTCTTCTATTTCATTCAGGCTGATGAAGTATATTTGAAATTATCTGCTATAAGTTTTTGCTACAAAAACATAAATATTAATATAAAGTGGAGTTATGTTATATTATTAATCCTTTCATTTCAATTACGGTAAAAACGAGTCGAACTCGGAAACTACGAAAGCTAGATACTCGAACTTTGAAATAATCATTTTTGTATATCATGAGTATCAAAAGTATCATCGAATAATACAGATTTGTAAACATTGTCTTTTAAACACAAGTCGAATACTATTAGAGATAGGTACACCAAACTTCTTATAGTAAACATAAGCCAGAATCGGACAATACATACCGTAGCTATTCAAGAATATTGCACTGCGAGGAGCAAAGGGAAGAATAATCAGAAGGGATGGAAAAGAAGAAAACAGGACTTTGTGACTTTGTGAAGCACAGGTACAGCAACAACAACAACAACAACTACAACAACAATGAGTGAGAAGAGAGGGAGAAGAGTAGCTTAAGAACATAAGCTGTAGCCCAAAACAAAGAGGAACAAGCTTCGACTACATTTCCTTTCGTTTACTGTTTTATTGTCCTGATTGTTAGCTGTTGTTGTTTGCAATAGAACATTTTCAGAAGCTGTTGGACTGAACTTCGGACAGGCTAGCGCAATTCACTTCGATTTCAGATACATTTCTGCTGTTGCCCAAAATGCAAAGATAAATTTCTATCAGCTAAGGTCGCGAAAATTAAAAATAAATTGTAAATAAAATATAAACAAATTCATTTAAAATATATATGTTTATATATGCATATAAAAACTTTTGCGGATAACAGGCAAGCAAGTAGAATTTAGTGAAAATAGTTTATTTACGACTTGAACAGTGCCTCCGTTCGGTTAATTTGTCAACTTTTATGTTCACAGAGTATTGGCAGCAGTGAAGAGAAAAGAATATAAAGAACGCGTATTGGCTAAAAAGCTAGTGTCAGACATAAAATGGATTCACAGGAGCTCATTTCAAAATGGAGGCAGCTGTGCAGTCGGCACTTTTCCACCAGGCTGCAGAAACTCATAGACGTATCGAGGAGATAATGGAATAAAAATATAAGATACAACAGAGCAGATTATACGGATTGAAACTGACAAAGCCAGAAGTAGTAGAATGTCAAAAAGCTTAAATCATAAAGCGTATAAGATGTGATATAGAAATATCTTAGCCTGAGTTTAACGGCAAGCAGGATGTGTACGTTGCTTGGTGGAAAGCAGAAATATTCGCGTATGATGTTTCTGTACCAAAAGAGCACAGTCCCAAGGATTACCATATATGTATATACATAATATTTTATTTAAGTAAGCAACCCTTGGAGGAGAGCGGAGCAGCAACTGATATCACAATAGCTGACTCGAGAGGTGGCACAAGCCGTCTCTTCCCGCCTCCCAAGCCCCAAAAAGACAATGAAAACTTCTCCTAAACTAACTTAACTAATTTGTAGAGCATATTCCATGGCCTTGGTCGTGTCATGTTTTGAGCTTGAATAAACTCTCGTTTATTCAACTTTTGACCTAAATTTTGTGGATTTTGCAATTATCAAATGAAATGAATTCTTACAATGATTTTTGAAAATGAGTTTAAAACCGATTCGATGGTTAGCAAAAAAGTTGCACATTTCAATAGCTGCGAGTCGAATTTCTAAAATAATTGAAACCAGTTTAAAATA